AAAGCAAATCTACACACATATTCCAAATAGTAAACTGAAATCCATGAGCCTATGATTAAGAACTTGGCTGAAGAAAAAACCAAAAGAGAAAGAGTTCCTCCAGGACCAGGGTAGGGATCTACTGACTTAGCCTTTCTCCAGACTATGGGACAACCTTTCTGAAAATATTCCCCCTGCTGCAGTCATCTACAACATCATGTGGTGTCTCAAAATCATTTCACACTGTCCTTTGCATCACAGAGATCAATGGAGGAAAGGGGAATGATAGTATGAAGTGGGTCCAATGTAATTATATATTGGCAATCACATTTAATACATCACCTCAAAACGTATTTCTGGATTCTAAAATGGTCCACTCCCTGCAAATTAGTTTTGGTAAACCCATCTTAAGCAAAGTAAATCAAAATGAAAATCACATTTGGGACACTTCATTAAAATGTTTTGGAGTAATTAACTTCTTAATCATGAAATCGTCCCTCTTGAGACTCTGTCCAGATGAACAGCATGATAGACTGCAGTTCTATAATCGTTTGGCTGATGTACAACTCTAACTCTTCTGCAAAAAAGACAACACTAAACATTTACAAACCCATGCGTGTGTGTCTAGGCTCTTTTTCACTTACCATTAGAACTACATAAAAGTAATCACTTACACTGGGCAATGACTGCCTAAGCAATATCTTTTGTATTTTAACATCTTTTTAGTTTTTAGTGACATAAAGTTTTATTTAACACTTTTTGCACCCCAAATGTTACCTTTTCTGCTAAATCCTGCACATCTCTTTTCGATTTCAATTTTTCAATGCTATTTTTTAATCTTCAAAAAATAAAACTTGGAAAGTTCCAGTCTGTTGGCATTTATAAAGGTATAAATGTAATTTCCAGGGTCTTTGAAAGTAAATAATGTAGATTGTAAAATTGTAGTGTAAAACCGTTTTAGGAAATTAAGCATATTACTATGTTTTCCAACACTGGCTACTGAAAATATCAAGTCCTTGTGGAATTGTCCTAAAATAACTTTGACCTTGCTAGGATTGGGTAGGACAATCTCTGAGAGGACCAAAACCATTTAATAAAAACAAAAGCTATGCCTCATTTTACATCAAATGCAGCTTTATGTGACAGAATTTTATTTAAAGATAAGATTCATATTTCTAGATCATCACAATCTAAATAATTGCAAATTACTTTATAGAGAAATGCAATCTAAGTATGCATATGCTGGTGTTAAAAATGAATTAGCATTATGAAAAAGGGAATATTCTATGAACTTATCTTCATTTATTTAAAAGGCTTAAAAAAGTTTACATCTTAAAGATGACCAATCTTAATACAATACTGCAAAATACATGCTGTGGGCTCAGAGGAGTGAGGGGTTGTGAGCAGGTGAAGAGGTCTGATACAGAGAGGTGCAATGTGTTTGTTCTGTCGTATTTTACACTCAGGAAGCGTGAGTGTTGTAAAGCATACAATTTTAACACAGCAGGTACTTTTTACAGGTCTAGATTCTGCTAATTTTGGAAACATTTCTCATTTCTATGTCCTCCTGGGGTTGTGATGCCAAGTATGAAATCAGGCTTTCACACTGGTGGAGTACAAAAGACACATTTCCTTGAATTTCTCCGTCCCAAATTCCCCTGTAGTTATTAACCATTAATAAGGGCACTTGAAATATATCTTTCAGGATTACAAATAAGTATTAGGGTAGCAGGAAGCAAGTAACTGCAAAATCAGACTTTACAGAGTACATCAGAAACATAATTTGTTATGTATTGTTCAAATGTAGATATCTTTGCAAACTATTTTAAATCCAAAACATTTTCAATTTGTTTAAATAATCAAGTATTAAACTAATGTCATACACAGTGACAATTCCACAATTGGTGGGTTCAATATCTATTTGTCTACTTATCACATTTTTAAAAGGTCAAGAAAAGCTGAAGAGCTCAATGGAAATGCTTTTGACCCAGATAGCACACTACAACAAGCCTTTTAGTTCTGGTTGAAAGAACATCTGAATATAAATGTGTTAAAAATGAAATTCCAAGCCAATACATAAATACTAAACTGAACCCATTCCCACACCACAAGTTTACTGTGCTTGAGTAGAACCACAGCTAACTTTCAATTAAAGACCTTTACCGCAAAGAAACAAATTCATATAAAATATAAAGATGTAAAAAACTCAAAAGGTAGCCACAGACGGAAGGTAACTTACCATTAGCTACATCTTCTTCTCCATTCTCAGCAGCTCTACTGCTTTGTAGGCATGCTAGGAAGCACAAGATCAGCTCCTGCTCTCCTCGGGGAAGAAATGGAATGAAAAGAAACCCATGACATTGAGCCTGCTTATAGTTGTAATAAATAGTTCAATGCAGACGTTTCTTGAGGAAACACTGACATGACACCTCCGCAAAAGAACAAGGTCACATCCAAACAGAAAACTTCCACTCTCACCCCTGCTGGTGACGTCTTGAACTGGGCTCTTCAGCTGCCTGCTGGGGACCCTCTCAGATGCAGTTCTACAGGACAAGAAATGTCACTGCAAAACAACCTTGCCATTGAAGAGAAATGGAGAACAGACTGTGCCAGTGTGCGTACAGTGTGCACCTGAAAATAATAAGAAGTTACGGCAGTGCATTTTTGTCCTCTGTGTTCAGGTGTGAACATGAATGATACATTTTACATGAAAAACAAATGACATATGTTTAATTATATCATTTATATACATTTTTCACTTTTTACTAAGCCTAAAATAAATTATTTTCACTGTGCTCAGAGCCCTGTCTGACTACTTCTTTTTTTATGGCATGGGCCAGTTTGGTAAAAAGAAAGTTAAAATAAGGCCTAATGTTTTAACAGTGTGAAGTACAACACATCCAGAAATACTATGCAGATTCAGGAGGTTTTGATTCAATACTGAGGCTTAGTAGTGTGTTGTGCAAACTGGAGAAGAGTTCTTTACGTATGAAGGAGATGCATCCAGAGCTGCAGTTATTGATGTATCACTGGCAGATTCTAAGCTCTTGCACACGCATGGAAAGATCAATAGATTTCCCTCAGTACAATATCACCATAAATGATATTACCCAGGATATTAAGTGTTTTCTTGTGTTATCCATTCCTAAGAACATTAGAATGGTTACCAACAAGAAGAATCTGTTTGGCTCTTCTAGCTCATTCAGACATGCACCTAGTTAATGCCTTGAGGGGCTGCAGCTGGGAGTACAACAATTTAATGCTTCAGCAGATGTGAAGGACACTGACAAGCTGCCCACAGGCGGGGCTCTGGAAAATACTTGTCATGGCGGATTTACTAGCAATATGGGCTGATGGCTGTGAGATATGTTCCCTCTTACAAGATCACCATAACCTCGGGGATGCAAGAGACTCTCCCCTTTCTCAGAAAAGAATGGCCAGCAGCCATAGTGAGCAGCAGATGCTATCAGCTGCAGGAGCAGGAGAGACAAAAGAAGCTGGTCAAGTGGTGAGCAGTGGAGACTGGTGACTGCAGCACAGGTTGGGCAGGCTGGTGAGTAGTGGTAGCTGCTGCAGCTTCAGGGATGCAGGCAGGAGACTGGCTGTTGCAGCATCAAGGAGGCAGGCTTTGGGAGAGAGCCGGAATGGTAATGTTTTGAAGGCTGATGGTTGCAGGATCCAAGGAAACAGGCTAATTGAGAAGTAGAGACTGGCAGCTGCAGATGCTGTGGACAATGGTGACATTGTTTGTTCATGGGGGAAGCAGTACAGCTGGCACAGCAGGGATGGAAGGAAAGATAGCAAGGAGGGCAGAGGCTTTTGGCTGTATTTCCGAAGAGATGCCCAGGAAAGGGAAGTGAAGCTCTCCAAGTATATGGGGGTGTTGTGAGTGAGAGTTTGTAACTGTTGTGTGAGTGTTCATCAGCAGTGGTGCTGAAGGCTGTGTAGAATATGTAGGGTGTCGCTATGGCAAGTATGTCAAATTTTGGTGGAATGGAATCTGTTTTGACCACCAGGGCCCTGGGACAGAACAGCCCATTCTGACAGTTGTGGGCACCAGAGATGCAGCACAGCAGTGCAGAGCCGTGTGCTGGGTCCTCAAAGGTGCATGAGTGTGGCAGGAGAATAACATTGGTAGAGAGTACATGCAGTCTTCCCCAGAAGGGGATCAATGTATAAGAACTAGGACCCTAGAAAGGGGTCCAACAATAAATGACCCCAGCTGGTGTTCTCCCCTGACCAGCCGATGCTCCGGAGCTCAGTGTGCATGAACGTTTAGGAACCAGGGAGTAGGAGATTCAGCCTGGAAGCTTCAGACTCTTAGGGAAGAAAATTTGGTGGGGCTGCCTGACTGGCTCCTGACTCTGCTGGAGATGTGTGGAAGTCTGGCGTGTCTCCACTGCAAGGACAGAAGAGAGCCTTGGCAGGGGGGGTAAGTACACAACAGACTGTGAGTATGCTGTCTGCACGAAAGGTATGGGAAAGGGAAAAAATAGGCTTAGTGTTAACTGCACTTGGGGGTTGTGTTGATTAGTATGAGAAAGAAAAGAGGTAAAAAGTTGTAAAATGAAAGAATTAGGGTGAGTGAAAAAAGTGAAAAAGTGCATTGGTCTATAATGAAGTCACCTGGTAGGGTAAGACCCTTATCTAGGGGCAGACAAAATTGTAACTTAACTGGACAATTATTTCATGTTAGGGAGTGCTCATTTTGATATGGTGGAGCTCTGTACTGTAACTTTCTTTAACATCAGTAGTCTCAAACATCCTTTCGTACTGAAGAATCAACTGAGATTGATTATGCAGCATTGCTACTACCTTTATTAATAACAGTAATACTTCTGGTAGTACCAGAATACTGAAAAGCAAAACCTGCAGTAAAAGGTCAGTGTTCTGAACTTCCCCAAACTCTTTATTTTCTAGTTATTGATAGTGTCAGAGATTGCTGCATAAAACTTAGCAGTTGAAATTGTTTTACCTGCAGATTGTTTGAAAAGGCGAAGCAAAGCTATTCATCCTTTCCAAGCCGCTGCCATGGCAACCCCCCCACATGACTAGCTGAAAACACACTGCAGTCTCCAAGCCCCACAGCTCAGCTGCTTACAGGGCAAGGGTTCAGGGCTGACAGCACACAGCTTGCAGTGTACAGAGATTGTGCGGGCTTCTCAGTGCTGCAAGATGCAACACAGGGCTTATCAGCCAGTACTTCCATGTGGGAACAAGTACCTACAGCAGAAATGGGACATAACTTGCTACAAGGAACACAGGAGAAAGGTATATTATTTTTATAAGACAATTCCTAAAATAGAGTCATGTGTTACTGCTGTTATTTTAAGTTTGTGAAAGCCATCATGCTTGTGTGCATGCTTTTGATGGGTTTGCCTATTGATTGACTATTGAAATCCCTTTGTAGATATTTGCTTGCTTATTGTTTTAGACACTAAATGTATATACATTAATTTATAAAAAAAACTACCAGCCGGGTAGGGAAATGCCATAACTTTATTAACTTATTTTGCTTTTCTTGGTCATTTGCTTGGCTCAACAGTATTTTTTCTGATGCTTTTATTTGCACCCATTTATTGAAGCCAATACTACCCTTCCTTTTATGCTGCAAACTGATAAACATCCTTCAGTCAATTCAAATTCAAAATGAAATCTATCAATAATGCTCTGTGTTCTGTTATCTTGATAACTGAATTAAGCACAAAACCTAGGTAATTGTTAACTGTTACTGAATCACACAAAAGAATGAGAGATTAGTAATTGTTACTAAATGAAACATGAAGCCATTGCAGAGAAAATCTCAAAATGTAGAACTACTTGGAATGCACATTAACAGTTCCCAGTGGAATGATTCAGTTCTCCTGAAAAGAAATGAAATACAATTAAAAGCAATGAATAGCATGCCCATATAAGTGACTAAGCTATTCCATATGTTTATACTCTTAAACAAAGTAAACACTTTCACATTACATGACTCTAGCTCTACAGGTGGTACTCAAAATGAATCCATGATTTTACTGTTGTATTCCCTTTCTTGGTCATTTGCTTGCCACCTCAGTAATTTGTCTGATGCTTTTATTTTTACCCATTTATATAGCTGGGCATTTAACCAAAGCAAAGTGAATGAAGTGCCACAGCAGCAACCCTGCTAGGATTTGAATCCTGACAATGACAATTATGAGTCAAGAACCTTAACCACTGCACCACACTGCTGTAGTTACCTTAGCACAGCAATGAATGATTTTATTCCATACACTTCAAACAGAACCATTCACTTCTAAGTCATCTTATGGAAAATCATAGTAAATTGTGAACAATTAATTTATATTTTAGCTTGAGGTTATTCTGTTCTCTGTGGTTCTCTGTGTACACTGGTTTGTAGAGCTTTAATGAACAGAACAGTATTTTAATGCTCTTAACTATTTACAAGGGAGACAAGACCCAGAGGAACAGCTGAACTAGCTAACGGTCTTCACTACTACTTCTCTGGAGGGTTTTCTGGAGAGAACGCTCTTCTGCTTGCTACTTAAGGCCCTCCTTTGGGAATACCCACATCCGCCATCAGTTGCCCTGACTTCGGTACAGAACAAAGAGCAACATTCATTTCTACTGTGTCTTCCTGCTCAATATCTGGGGAAAAGTGATCACTAGACTATTGTAGACACCTACTGTAAGTTGCTTAATAGGTATGTGCATAGTTTCCTATGACAGAAATGAATAGGTTTGCTCCACAAAAAGCTGAAGTTTCACCAGATTAAAAACAAACATGTACCACCTGTGTCTGCAAATACAGAACCTGAATTTTGTAAGGAATTTTTTTTTTTCCTTCAGGTGAAGTCAGCACAGCCCATGGTGAACACTACCTCACCGCAAGCATATGGTCATCTTCACGTAAAAATGAAGAAGTTGAAGGTAACAAAAACATAATTAGCCGTAAACTGCATAAAGCAAAGGTCATTGTTGAAATTGATGTACCTGCACATTGCTTGATAATGAAATGGAAAACTATACATCCTTTCCTAGGTTGTGGTAATGTTTTACAGAATATTAGGGCTGTTAATTCATCCTTAATATTTTGCTTTCTGCAAATATCTTTGCAGTGCCACTGCCTGTGCTTAGATGTGAAATGTGTGTCTATAATTAATTCTGTATTTTTGGTTTTCAAGCTGGAAGAGGAGCGCCTGTCTGTTATTCAGAGAGATAACGACATGCTGCTGGGGAAGATGTCTTACATTATGAGGACAACAGGACGTATTGACAACAGAAACGACTACGAATATAAAAGGTACCCTTGTAAGTGGAAAACAAAACGTGCCTCACAATTACAGCCAACCACCCAACTGCAGGACACAATCTTAAGCAATAAGTTACACAGCAGAGAGAAAGCATAGCACAGGGTAATATAAGGATAGGGCTCAATAGACAATAGACTTCAATAATGAAATAATATGCTGTAAAAGCCAGTTAGGTACAGCCATGAATCTGAAGGTACACAGGAGAATGACGAGCTCAGCAAAGGTCCTTGCAATGTTCTGTGTCAGAGGGCAGTGTCGAGAACTGCTGGGCCGTTGGCTTTTGTTGGCTCCATGACAGAGAAACGTTTCAATATATAGGCACCTAATGTTTTAAGAAGACATGTTTCAGGCCATTTTAGTCTTTTAGTTGTGATTGCTGATTGAAGTGCACCATGTGAACAGTTACCGTAGACACAGCTCTTGAACTTCAAGCACGTTTCATGGGTTTCCTTTAAGCCATCACCAATAAAAACCCTTTAACACACATTGCAATCCATAACACAGATATCAATTGGACAGTGTCAAATGTGAACACCGTGAAACTAATGATTAATTAATGAAATAAAAACCCTGTGGACACTAATGTGATGTTCCACTAATACCACTGATATTTTAATGACTGATCATCACCTCCTGTCTTGCTCTTTGAGGTATATGCCTTAAGGACTGTAGTTGAGAACGGTTTATTCTGTCATTTATTCTAACTCTGCTACATGGTATCTAAATGAAGGCAAACCCTGTGTTTGGATAATTTGATGACATAGACAGAAGACCTTGTGGACTGTAGAAAATGCTTGCATTTTCCCGGGTGTCTGAACTGCAGTCTGAGCAGAGAGAAGCGACAACAGGAGCTGCTTCGTGTCACCAAGGAGAACCAGGTCATCCTGGAAAGGATCTCCCATTGTGGGTCACGCTACAGTGTGGAGAGGTGGCGTGAGGACTGGCGGAGGACTGAAAAATACATGGAGCGAATTGCGCACTACCCTCGGAGACAGAGTCCCGCGTGCAACAGAAAGGTAAAATGCATTTGAAGTTGATCCATTGTCTGCTTCTTTGTGTTCCTGGATGTGCCACTGGATGTACTGGGTTCCCATGAATACCTCTTGCATAATCTGGAAGTGGGAACCCCACCTTTTTGTAAGTATATGTAAGTGCTTATCTACTTAGTTCTGTAAGTGCTTAGTATATGTAAGTGCTTATCTATTTCAATTCTAATGAGCAGTAGTGCTAAAAGAGAAATCTTGAAGTGTCTGGTTACTTTAGAATTGCTGAGCCGTGCTGTTAAAGCAGTTCTATGGTTCATTGTAATGTGGGCCTTTCACGCATATGAAGAGAAATGATCGTCTTTAATATGTTTTTTTTTTAAGATTAAAGCTATGTCCTCCAGGAATAAGACCAAGAAAAATGAGGGAAAAGAAAAGGATAAGGAAGATCAGAGAGCATGCGTCCCTGGATCTCATCAGCCAAACAAAGGGTCAGAGAGAAAGGAGAAAACAGAAACAGAAGAGAGAGAAAGCAGTTCTGGGGCTGAGACATATGAGGACACACGAGAGGAGACAGAGCAGACAACTGAGCAGGGGGATGCACACAAGGAATAATTGTTCTGCACTGGTTTTTGCATGCGGCAAAAGAATACCAATTATATACACACAATACACAATTATATTTCTTGTGCATGCTACAGTTGTGAAGGCACCATGGCATGTGGTAAATGTTCTTTACTGAAAAACAAAGCTGAAATGTGGAAAAACTATCAGATGCTTTAAGATGCTATCAAGTGTCTATTGAATATTTATAAGAATTTTTGTAACAACAGAAATTGCCTTGGATATGATTATGTTGTGATTTTTTTGCGCAATTAAAATATTGCTGTCTAACATTTCAAATCTCTGTTAGTTCAGTTTGTTTACTGTGGCTAATTAAGTTTAACATCATCAACGTTAACATATTCAGTAAGTTAAATAAGAGATATCAGACATCACTGGAAAATGGAAATGGTTTGTTGTTGTATGTTGACAACTAATTAAAGTTTCTTTTACAGCTCAAATAATAAAAACAGCTACTTGTAAACAGCAATTAGTAGTGTCTTCCTTCCACTTGATTCAATGCACATAATTCATATTGGTTGCTATTATTATCTTGTCTAAACAAACCTTTGAATTATACTGTACTACAAATATGGTTGAAAAAGGAGCTTGTCCTTTGGAGGTTTTACTCAGCAGTTTCTTAAACATACCCTTATCACCATAAAAGTGGTGAAGACAGTAATGAAACTGTAATGAAAGTATGACATCTTGAAAATTAATTACTGACTGTAGAGATGCGTCAACATATCTTTATTTGGCTGGAGACCTGTAAATATGTATTTTACCTCTTACTGTACATGACTGCCTCTGTTTAACATATGTTGTGTCTTTTTTTTAATATTCATTAATATATTAATACAGTAGTTTTTTTTCCATCTAGAAAGTATCTAAAGTGTTCATAGGAAAGGAATAGGGATCTCACATTCTCCACAACTGAA